TTAATAAAATAACGCACAGACATTCAATTATTCTCAAAAATTTTAATTGAATTCATTGTAAAATTTAATTATTTTTAAAAACTTTTCACAATTCAATGATTTTTAATATCTACTATTTTTATAAAATTTTCAAACAAAATTCAATTATTTAAAAATTTTTTTATAAAATTTCCAAACAGAATTCAATTATTTAAACATTTTTTTGTATAAATCTTCGTAAGAATTCAATTATTTTCCTGAATAATAAAAATTTCTCAGGAACTGAATTATTTAAATTAGAGTTTGCATATAAAATTAGTCGACGGAAATCAATTACTTAAAAATTTTTATAAAATTCTTCGCAAGAATTAAATTATTTTTATAAATATTTAAATTTTTCCATGAATAATAAAATTCGTTGCAGGAATTCAATTTACTGGCAGGATAAGTAAGAAGTAAATATTTTTGATAAAAATTAGGGAAAAGTCAGAAAAATAAAAAAATATGGAATGGAATTTTTGTCAGTTTTTTCGATAGCTACTTTTTTTTAGTTTGAAAACTACTTTTTGCTACTTTTTAAAAATTAATTATCAAGTGTGAAGACAAAAATTCGAATTTACAACTAAAAAGCTATTTTAATATACACATTTATCGTTAAACGAGACTATTATATGCTCCTTATCAATTTTGTACTCAAAATATCCGTACTTTTCTCTGAATCACACGATAACAATACATTGTATAATCTCGAATAGCTTTTAAATATTACAGAAACACTAAATTCTCCGCAACAAATTAAAAATTTAATTTTCTTTTCCACTCTAAAATTTCGAATATACATAATATTTTTATTATTTCTTTTGTATGTATATATATTTATATAAATTATTATATAATCGCGATTTGTAACTGCATTTATAACGGACACAGCTATCTTTCATCATATTCTATTTAATTAATATCGCTTCCTAAGCTTTTGATCCGATGCATGCAAATGCCTCAAGGATGGCAATAAGTAATCGATTTACCCCTTCGAGGAGAAATTATATGGTTGTGATTATGCCAGAGCTACAAATGTTAATAATTGGTAGGAAGTTGTGAATACTATTTTATTCAATGTATGATAAATTGTTAAGACATACAAAAACCTTTTCCAAATTACTAGTTTCACGTTCAATCCAATGTTTCTCATTAAATGCGCAAACATTTATCGCAATTTTTTTTCTTTTTCCCTCAACTTTACAGAGATATTTCAATAAAGTTATTCAATCCTTTATATTCGAGATTTATCAACGCTCTTTCTATTTACTCTACCTAATTGATAAATAATAATCAATAATAATAAATAATAGAAAATAATTATAGTTTTCGTAAGGATATCAAATTGAGACAATAAAATGCAACAATTTTGATTCGTTTTTTGTCTCAATTTGATATTCTTGGAAAAGCTGTGATAGTAAATAATAATAAATAATACTAAATACCAATAAAGAAAACACAATAAAATAAAATCAAACTCAGTTTTTTGAATTCAAATGAATAATTAAGCAAATCTTTAAATTTGCATATAAATTATTTTTCTCCACCTTTAGATAATTTTTTATGCACTCGCGAGAGAAAAAAAAAGACCATTTTCGAATATTATTTATTGGAACAACGTATACGAAAGAAAAAAGAAAAAAATAATTAATCTGTCTGCGAATTTACCTGAAAGCTTCTTCCGTTACTCTCATACACCGAATATACACGTGCGTATAAAATTTATCGTTGAAATCGATATATGTGAATTCGAAGGCTCGCAAAGAGGAGAACAATAGAAAATGAAACGATAAAAAGAAATTCAGTGTCTGACGATTTTGTGCCGTAAGATTATTCAGAGATAGGAGTGACTTATTGTAGAGTGTGTGCCAGGCAGTAGCCGAGAAATTGTTCATTTGAGAAAATAATGTTCCCCTAAAGTTCTGAACGTTTAGAAAAACCTTCCAAAGAATAAAGTATTAAATCTACCTCAACTATAAAGTAAATTTTTACTTCAAGATTTTACTAAAAAATTGTACTTACAAATTATACTTAAAAAATTTACTTACAAATTATGCTTAAAAATTTTACTTGCAAATTTTACTTACAAATTTTACGTAAAAATTTTACTTAAAAATGTTACGTAAAAATTTTACTTCAAAATGTTACGTAAAAATTTACTTAAAAATGTTACGTAAAAATTTTACTTACAAATTTTATTTACAAATTTTACTTAAAAAAAAAGAATGAATGGAAAATATTTTCATAAAAGATCATCTGAACCTTCAGAATTTTAGGCAAACGCATTCAGAAAACACAGAAGAAGAAAGAGAAAAAATCACTTTGCAAAATATTCTCAACACGTCTTTTTAATTTTAATTTAGTAAAAATTGAAAAATAATACGTTATTTAACAGTAGTTTGACATTTAACAATAGAATTAAATTTAACCATTTGAACTTTAAATTTAATTTCACTTTATTTATTAGTAATTAAAATGATTAATTTATCGACTAAATTAATTAAGAGAAATTAAAACTAAAAAGAAAACCATAAACAAAAGTCTTGTTAATTTCTTTTAACTAAAAAGAATTAATAAATTATTTAATTAGTTTCAAGTGGTGTGCGATAAGCTCAAAAACTTAGAAATAACAAAAACAATAATTGAAATCAAATAATTTAATTTCAATTTAATCTGAAGCTTTTCGATAATTCAAAATCATATTCATTTGAAACTGCTTAAAAATTCGAATCAATCACCAAACTTGGAACATTACAAGAGCTTGAACTCAGAAATATTCACGAACTTGAAACTATTAAAGAACTAAAAATAATTTAAGAACTTGAAACCATTCGAGAACTTAGAAACATTCAATAATTTAAAACCATTTGAGAACTCAGAACCATTCAAGAACTTAAAAATATTTAAGAATCGGAAATGATTCAAGAACTTGAAAGTCATTCAAGAACTCATAAACATTCAAGAACTTGAAACTATTTGAAAACTGAAAATAATTCAAGAACTTAAAACCATATTTGAGAACTCAGAACCATTCAAGAACTTAAAAATATTTAAGAATTGGAAATTATTTAAGAACTTGAAACTATTTAAGAATTGAAAATGATTCAAGAATTTTTAACTATTTAAGAATTGAAAATGATTCAAGAACTTGAAACTATTTAAGAATTGAAAATGATTCAAGAACTTGAAACCATTTGAGAATTGAAAATAATTCAAGAATTTTGAACCAAAATTTGAAATCATTAAGAAAGTACAAATAACTGACAGACAAGATAAGAGCATTAAAGAATTCAAAAAATATTCGGAAACTTAGAATATCTTTTAGGGACTTCGAATCAACTTGATATTATTTGAAAGCTCAAAAATTATTCAAAATCATCAAAAGATTTGAAACTATATTACAGAACATTAAGAGTTAAAGTACTCGAAATCATTCAGAAACTTGAAATTATTTTAAAACTTAAAATTATACCAAAAACTTGAAACTTACCCAAGTTTCTGAATTTTAAATCGTTCAAGAATTTTCAATTATTTGAGAATTATATAGAAATCACTTAAAATCTTAATAAGTTTCAATGCTCAAAAATCGTTCAGAAACTTATAAATTTATTTCGAAACTTAAAATTTATCAAAATTTTCGAATCTGGAATCATTTGAATGATTTCAAAATTAAAGAAATCATTCAAGATTTTGAAAGATTCTTAAATTATAAATGATTCAAGAACTTGAAACCATTAAGTATTGGAAATGATTCGAGAACTCAGAAATATTCAAGAACTTGAAATTATTTGAGAACTAAAAATGATTGAATTTTAAATGATTCAAAAACCTTAAATCATTCAAGATTTTGAAAAGTTTTAGTACTCAAAATCGTTCAGCAATCTCAAATTTGGGCTAATTTTGGGTAAATATTTGTAGGAAACATTTGGAGCTTAAAATTATTCCAAAAAACTTGAAACCTATCCAAACATTTGAATAGAAAATCATTCAAGAACTTTGAACTATTTCAAAATTAAAGAAATGATTCAAGAACTTGAAATTATTTGAAAACTAAAAATAATTCAAGAACTTTAAGTCATTAAGAATTGGAAATGATTCGAGAACTCAGAAATATTCAACAACTTGAAATTATTTGAGAACTGAAAATTATTAAATTTTAAATGATTCAAGAACCTGAAATCATTCAAGATCTTGCAAAGTTTCAGTACTCAAAATCGTTCAGCAATCTCAAATTTGGGGGGACGGGTAATTTTTGGTAAATATTTTGAGGAAACATTTGGAGCTTAAAATTATTCCAAAAACTTGAAACATATCCAAACATTTTGAATATAAAATCATTCAAGAACTTTGAACTATTTCAAAATTAAAGAAATCATTTAAGAACCTGAGAACTTTCAGTATATTCAAAATTGTTCAGTAATTTCAATTTAGGGGTCATTTTTTGGGCAAATATTTGGAAGAAGTATTACAAAATAAAAATTATACCAAGAATCAGCCTAATCCAAGTTTTCAAATCTGTAAAGTTTCAAGAACTTTGTTAGCTTAAAAGTATCAAATTGCAACGAGTTGATACCAAAAATACCGATCAAATAAAAAATCGATCCAAATTTTTAGCATCGATTTGATCCTCCTTAGTATTAATTTGATACTTTCAAGAAAACTGTATTCGAAAAACACCCAAGAATTCTAGTATTGAGCTTTTAACACACCTTTCTAACCTTTTCAATAATCGAAAGAATCTAAAAAGCAAATTTCTTACACAGTTGTTCTAAGTTTATCAAACTGAGACAAAAGACGTATCAAAAGTGTTGCGAAGCAACATTTTTGATACGTCTTTTGTCTCAGAAAAACTGTGCTAATTGAGGATAGAAATTAAGAAGCAATCTAAGAAGTTCTTTTCATTCTCGATAAATACCAAACGAGAGAATATTTTGCGAAATGAATTTCCAACAATCAAAAAAAAAGCCTTTCGAAAAACGAACCTTGCGGAGGTGGATGATGGTGATGATGATGATGAGGATGAGTGTATCCAATATTCGGAGGCGGTGGAGGATAAACAGCACCCCAAATGCAAGGGGACGAAGCAGCGGCAACTGCTGCGACCGATTGTTGCTGCTGATGTTGTTGTTGTTGCTGAAGGAGTTGTTGCACTTGGGCAATGTCAACAAATTCCTGGAGTTCGCCATCGCCATCAGCCTCAGACGGGACCTCGCGCACTCTACCTTCCGGTGGCTGATCACCAGAGAATGGATTGCTTTGCAGATGATCGAATCCGACAAGTGGTGTCGATGGATCGTAATTGCTGCTGCGTCCAGTCGTATGTTCGCGTCGCATCGCGAGCGCCAGCATCTTTTCAACTTGTCGTCCCGGTCGTCGTCTTAGTTTCCCTAGATCTCTCACTAGTGCCCCTTACACCGTTACCGGTCGTCGCTGATGTCAACGACAATGACCGGTCGTACATGTCACAACTCCACCCCCGGTTCAACACTCCCGAACACCGCTTTTGATATTTAATATAACACACACTTTTTTCTTCAAGGTCGAACAAGCACTACAAGTATCGAATAGCAAAATATCCAAGTACTTGGTATCAAGTATCAGATATTATACAGAATCACGGTAGTTCAATTCCTTGTCAAACTTAACAGAAAAACTGTTAAACTTTCAAAAACTGAAATCAAGCAGAAGAAGAGTTTGTCGTGAGCACGACGACGAGTTTCTTACTGGAGCCCAAGATAGTGGGCAGGGGTTCGCGATGGTCCGCGCTAGACTAATAAAGAGTGGCTCGCGCGCGAAGTTGTCGGCAAGAGGGAGAGAGGAAAAAAAAGAAGAGAGAGAGAGAGAGAAAGAGCAGTGCGACCGCGACGAGATTTGCCAACGTCACGTGTCGTCGACATCACCCTGGGGTTACTCCCGATACTGTTGACGGTGGTTACCTATGAGAGAACACCGTCTTCCTCTCCAGCTATTACTTTTCTTCTTCCTCCACCACCTTTTTCTTGACTCTTCTTTTTCCCCTCTTCATCATCATCATACATTTCTTCTTCTTGGTCCGCATCTTCTCTCCCCTTCACCACTATATACCGGTCAACTCATTCGTCTGCAATCTCCATTCATTCCTTCTTCTGTGAGAGCTTTCCCCGCCACAGGTTTCCTCCAGTTCTTCTCCTCCTCCTCCTCCTCCACCCTTTGAAACCTCCACGAGGTTACGATGCCCCACCCCCCATTGGTCGATTATCCCCCTTTTTCTTCACTCCCACCACTCACTCTTTTCATTACTTCCCTTTGCCCCACCACACACGCACGCACACACCAGTACGTCCATCACTGGCAAGACTGGCAACGTTCGCCGGGTGACGTCATTATGGCGTGGGCGCACCCCCGCACGAGAGAGCGCAACTTCTCTCCTCTTCGGTACATACGCATCATGAAGACAATGTACTTCATGGTACTTTGTCTATTCACTTCTTCGTACCGTACATACATACATATACATACGATTCTTGCATATGTTGTGCATCGGCAATTTTCGGATGATTGTTGCCTGAATGAATATGATGTAGGGTTGCGCTAAATATCTATAGTCAGAGCAACTTGTATTTTACACAATTGTATACGAATTTAACCATACAGCACAGAGTAAGATTGAACGTTAGCCTCAAACCATTATTTTGCAGATCATAAGACGTGTTTGCTGACCGTAAATGAGATGATCTTGTTGAAAATATACGAGATTGTCTTTGGAAAAGAGGAAACGATTTCCCCTCCCCTTTACTCATTTTTTTTCTCCCTATAAAGAGGATATCTTGCAGATAGTGATCATGACTTCGCACAACAAAAAGTATAGATGGTTTGTTTGATTAATTTTTTCTTCCTTTATTATTTATCGCACATATTGTACGTCATTCCCTTATGGCCTTTAGCTGATCCTGATGATCCTTCTCATTAATATTAGAACACTGTGCCCTAATAAACACTACCAAAATCTTAACTAAAACCTTGAACCTCAACAATCAAACCGTACAATTCGTATTCCTATCCTTAAAAACAAATTTCTGTCTGTAAAAACAATAATCGACTCATTTCTATTTATAAAAGAATCTATTCATTTCTACCTATGAAATAATCTTAACCATTTTTACACAGGTGTGAATTTGCCTAACTTTGTCATGGTTGGTCCGACGGTTGGCAAAACTCCGGGGAACGTAGTTTTTAAACATACGTTCCCCGGAGTTTTAGGCTTTAACGTACTTACCGCATAAATTTTTTTTTTTCATTATTATTTTTCCGTAGGAATTAAAATTTTTCAAAACATTCAAATTCAAACCTTTTTGAAATTCAACAACTTATAACAATATTATTACAGAACAAGAAGAAATCAATCACTCCGAGTCTTCGACTCGGAATGATCGACTTCTTTATGTTTTATAATAATTAAAGATGACCGAATGATAAAATCATTATTTTCAATTATAAGAATATTGTTACAGTACCTTATTCAAAATTATTTTCATCATTTCAATTCAATTATTATTTCCTAGAATTTTTAACTGAAATTCTTCTTCAAAACAATTAATTTTAATAATTTCTTAAAAAGTTCTTTGAGAATTTTCAAATCCATTATATATATATAGTTTCCAGTATTAAATTTTACTAAACTTCGATTATTTGAAAATTCTTTAATTAAGTTATTAGAAAATAAAAATTTCAAATATACGTAATTTCAAAAAATTCAATTAAACTTTTTCAAAAAAAATTAATTCTGCAGAATTGTTAGTTAAAGGTATGAAAAATTCAGATTTTCAAAGATTTCAATTTGAAACCTTTACAAAATTCAATTATTTCTAAAAAAATTCATGCTATAATTGCTTTTAATATTCGATTATTATCTAAAATTTAACTGAAATTCATTATTAAATCCAATATTATCAGAAAATTCTAAGAGAATTTAATTATTTAAATACAAAAATAAATAATTTATTGAATAATTGAATGTTTCTTAAAATTCAATTCCCATGAAAAATTTTATCAATATAAATTCTTAAATAATTGAATTCCATCGACGAATTTTAATACAATTTTTAAGAATAATTGAAATTCTGCGATGAGTTTTTTTTATTAATTATGAAAATAATTGAAATTATGCAATGAGTTTTATTATTGCGAAGAAATTTATAAAAAAATTTGTAAATAATTGAATTCCTAAGAAATTTTTATTATTTATGAAAATAATAAATTGAATGTTTGCGTAGAACTTCATTAAAAATTTTCTTGAAATAATATTCAATTCTTTTAAAGTTTTTTATTAAAATAATAAATACTGAAAATTATTAAATTGAGGAAAATTTTTAAAAATAATTGAAATTTTGACAAGGATTTTATTAAAGTTTTCGAAAATAATTAAATTTCAGAGAAAAATTTTATTAATTATAAAGAAAATTAAAATTTTGACGAGAATTTTTCTTTTAACTTTTGAACATAATTGAATTTCTACGAAGAATTTTAATACTTTTAAAAATAATTAGATTCATAAAAAGAATTTTATTATTTATGAAAATAATAGAATCCCTGTTAAAAATTTTAATATTTATGAAAATAAATTGATTTACTGCGAATAAATTTATTAAAAAATTTGTAAATAATTGAATTTCTGTGAAATTTTAATTATTTATGAAAATAATTAAATGATTGCGTAGAATTTTTATAACATTTTTAAAAATAAAATTTTTTTGCAAAGTTTTATTGCAATTGTAGATATCAAAAATCGTTATAAATTGATAAAAATTATGAAAATAATTGAATTTTGCAAAGAATTTTATTAAAATGCCTCAAAATAATTGAATTTTCTGAAATAACTTTGTGATTTATCGACATAATTGAATTTTTTTCCAAGAATTATTTATGTAAATAATTGATTTCTTGGGAAGAATTTTACAAAAATCTAAAAGAATAATTGAATTATTTCTAGAAAATTTAATTAAAATTTTATTTAAAATAATTGATTTCTTTTGAACAATTTTATTAAAATATTAGAAAATAATTGAATTCCTGTGAAAAATTCTAATATTTTTGTAAATAATTGAATTCTTCCAAAGAATTGTAAAAAAATATTTTTTTAAATAATTGATTTTTTCGAGGAATTGAAATCAAATTTTTAAGTATTTCATTTTTCAATAAATTTCATCAAAATTATATATTCAAAATAATTGAAATTCTGCCATGAATTTCATTATTTATTTATTTTTTATGAAAATAATTGACTGTTTGCGCAGAATATTAATAAAATCTTTTTTAAATAATTGAATTCTTTTGGAAAATTTTATTAAAATACTAGAAATTGAAAATCATTAAATTGAGGAAAATTTTTGACGAAAATAATTGAAATTTTGTCAAGAGTTTTATTAAAATTTTTTGAAAATAATTGAATTTTGGAGAAGAATTTTATTATTTATAAAGATAATTGAAATTTTAACGAGGATTTTTTTTAAATTGTTGAACATAATTAAATTTCTTCGAAGAATTTTAATACTTTTGAATATAATTGAATTTTTGCAATTATTTCTAACTTCCAAAAAATTCAATTCCTTTTTTGGGGTTTTTAACTAAAATTCTTCCATAAATCCATTTCAATTAAATTATATTTTTAAAACCTTTAAATAAAAATATTTATTAAATAATTTATAGATAAAAATTTTATGATAGTTCTTCAAGAATTAAGTTATCCAAAAAGAAATTATTGGCAGAAATAGAGAGAATTGAAGGTTTCGTATTAGAATTCGTGGTAATTTTATAGCTTATGAGCCAAACAAAAAAGATAACAAAATTCAGAATTTTCGGAATTCTTATGAATTCTAAAAATTAAATTTTTTCCCGTACGTTTTTTAAAAATCCTTGTTTTTACCCTGATTTCCTTGATCAATTCTATACTTTCCCTGACTTCCCTGACCTATGCCATTGTAAGTAAAATTTCTTACAAGGAAAAGAAAAAAATTTCCCAAAAAATGTCTTGCTCCCTAGGGTCAAAAAAATCAATTTTTCTCCCCACTAACCTGAATTGTATTCCCCATTAATAAAATTTCATTAAAAACAAACGAATCGAAGAACTTTAAATTTCCCAAGTTTCCCATTACTTATATATTTAAATGACCAGCAGGTCATTTGCAAGCATTTATTCTAATGAAGTTGGCAAATCTCGACGATTGGTCAAACCGACAATGATGTCAATATAAATGATGTCAAGAGTGTCAGTGATAGAGGGAGAAAAAAAAAATTGTACAGCGATAAGTATAATTTTCAAGACGACTTGTTAGTTGGAATTATGTTGAATATATCAGTATTTGTCAACCTACATCTTTGTTTTTAAATATTTGATAGACTAAGAGGTAAAAAAAAGAAAGAGAGGAAGGGGAGAGAGAGAGAGAGAGAGAAGAACGATATAAGGAGTCATAGAGCTGCTTATATTTCTATACGCATCCCTACTCATGTCCTGTGGTATAAACAGGCTCATGGTGGCAGCGACACACGCCATATGTGGCTAGACTATCCTACGTGGGCTAAACAAGTCCTCTTACCTTACTTCGCCTCACTTCTTGAGTCCCAAGTAAGCGTACCTTTTTAGCAGCATTACACATTAATATCGCAATAGACGAATTCAGATTTAAATTCATTCGCCACTTAAAGAGCTATAAATTTTCCTCTTACCTTTATATCATCCTTTCTTCGTTCCTCATTTTTCGTTCTGCTCAAGAGAGAATTATTTTTAGACGTGATCCCATTTTTTATCACCAATTCTCCACTTCTGCAAAAAGAAAAAAATGTATCACTGTAGCAATTATAGAAAAGAATCAAATATACAGTAGAACCTAGATTATTCGAACTAATTCTAACCCTTGGTTCAGATAATAGAAACAGAAAAATCCTGGTTCAAGATAACGAGAAAGTTCCGATAATAAATCAGGATTGCCAAAGGTCAGGGAATTCAGGGAAAAGTCAGGAAAAAGTCAGGGATTTTGATTGAAAGTACTGGAAAAAATTAGGTTTTTAGAATTTAAAAGAAA